AGTGCCATGTATTGAAACCACACATGCAACAGATTTATAATATGCATTTTTTCTCTAACCTTGACATCCCATTCATCCCGACCCCCGTCATTCCCTCTTCACTGTTTTGTGGAACCCACCTCTGGACAGGTTCAGGTCCAAGTATCATCCCGATGAGGTCAGCCGACTTAAGGCAGAGGCCCAAAGTTCCCTGCACAACCGTCTGAATGTCTTCATGTTCCTGATGGAGAACAGTTGGTTTGATAACATCTCCCTGGACATTGAACAGACTCCAGCCATAATCAAAGTTCTGGATGCAGGTGAGGCCTCAAAAAATGTTGTGTACTGTTGACATGTTGCACTTTTTATTTTTGTCTGCGGTGCCTTTCTCTTTCTTGTTTTAAAAATTACGATACATAGTGAATACTGGGTAGTACTTAAAAGATTGTCAACAGTTGTGGTCTGAACAGTACACACTTTTCCTTGCCTTCAGCTGTGATAAAGATGGAAGGAGGGACGGATCATGATCTTCGCATCTTGGACCTGCCATCTGAAGAGGAAGAGGACAGGGAGAAGTCGGCATCTGTTTCAGGATGTGCTGAACCTCCCAAGAGAGAAGACCTCAAAACCTTGAACAGAGACCGCAAACTCTTAATAGACAAAGACAAGAATGAAAAGGTATGTTTTATTCTGTGTCAGTGTTCGCCAGGCAATAAAGATTTAGTGGTGCTGTGTTAGTGACAGTAAACTGTGCCATAGGAGGAGAGCGACTGTGTCAATATAGAAATGGCTGCTGTAGCAGAAAGGGGGAGTATCAAAGAGGACACACAGAAAGAAGCTGCCAAAGAAGAAATGTCTGAACCCAAGAAGGTCAGTGTTGCCTCTATTATTAACCTTATTTGCTAACGAGACAAAAATGATCCAGATAGTTCACACTAATATCAATGTTATTCACCTGCAGAGAAGAAAGAGGAAGCGCAGTGTAGACAGCGATGATGAAGCCAGTGCCTCAGAGAGTGAAGCTGATTCGGATTCGGACTCCAACTGCTCTGACAAGCCTGTGAAGAAGGAAGAGGCAGAAGACAAGGATGAGGAGGAAGAAGAGGGTGAAGAAGGTGACAGATTTGTTTTATGCATCTGATTATTTTCAGTTTAATAGTGTCTGTGTCTCCAGAATTCACACCTCATCGCTAATGGTGAAGAGGATAACCCCAAGGTGAACACTGAAGGGGAGAAAAAAGAAGAAAAGAAGCCCAAAGACGAGTCTCCCAGACCACGGCCTCTCCACAAGACCTGTTCTTTGTTCATGAGGAGCATTGCTCCCACCATTTCCAAGGCTGAGATCATTGCTGTGAGTTGAATACAGACAGTGTTGGTTGCCCTAGAGATGTAGAATCACTGATTGTGCTGAATAATTTGAGTCTGTTTTGTTTTTTCCCTCTTCCAGCTTTGCCGGCGCTACCCTGGCTTTTTGCGTGTTTGCTTGTCTGACCCCCATCCAGAACGCAGGTTTGTTTGGTTTAAAAATGCTTTCATAACACATGATTGCACAATATTGTTTAAATGAACCTTGTGCCTTTGCAGATTTTTTAGACGTTGTTGGGCAACATTTGACCGCAGTGTCAATATCAAAGAAGTCTGCTGGAACCTTCAGAACATTCGAGTAAGTGTGCCACTTTCAGCTATTGAAATTGAAGTAGTTGAAATATACAGCAGTGTACCTACAGGTCAGTGAATCAGAGCTGCAGTAATCACTGTATTAAAACAGTTTCATCTCATCACGTTGAACTTAGATGGCAATTTGGATAAATTTGCACCTATTTTTAATACTAGCGTAATCTCTCAAACTACTGTTGAGGCCATTACTCTCTCCTCCTCACAGTTGCGAGACTGTGAACTGGCTCCAGGGGTGAACAGGGACCTGGCACGGAGGGTGCGTAATGTTAATGGCATCACTCAGCACAAGCAGGTGCTCCGCAATGACATCAAGCTGGCTGCCAAGCTCATTCACGTCTTGGATGAGAAAGGAGAGCTGTGGAGCAACAAGTTTCAAGAAGAGGGGCAGAGCACTGAGGTACAAAGCTAGTTGTACTGCTTTGTGCGCATACACTTTAAACAGATTGTTCCAAAATGATCTTGCCACTCAAGTATTCATATATGTGTGGTTTGTAATTTCAAAAGTTGCCAGCTCAGAACCCCATCTTGAAGAATATTACTGACTACCTGATAGAGGAGGTGAGTGCAGAGGAGGAGGAGCTTCTGGGCTCTGGCAGTGGGATGGATCCTGAGGAGAGCTCCAGAGAAGGAAACCCTGCAGAGATGACTGTGGAAAGAGATGACAAACTTGCCAAGGTTTGCGTTATGCAATTATCAGTACAAGCATGAATATATATTCAGCTCAACCCACTAATACAAGGTATTATATTTCATCACAGGTTACTGTTATTTGTATCCTTGATATACTTTATCTGTCATTTCAATGGCTGCATAAAACATCCTGATTTCAGTAAATAAATTCTTTACCTTCAGTCTTTGTAAGATTTCTCTGCTGTCTACCTTATTTTAGGTATTGGACCGTCTGCTCTTGTATCTGCGCATTGTGCATTCAATTGACTACTACAACACCTGTGAATACCCCAGTGAGGATGAAATGCCAAATCGCTGTGGTATGGTCCATGTTCGTGGGCCCATCCCTCCCAACCGCATCTCACATGGAGAAGGTCACTATATTTTCCTGTCTTCTTTAGCTTTAAGTGTTAAACTGCATCTTCATATAAATGTCATATGTCTGTGTTATATATTAGCTATGATTGGACTGCACTGGTCTACACTGGTAAAGGTTTCTGCTTCTGAATCATAATGTGCTAATTTTTATGGATTTTGAGGTGCTGAATGAAAGTATGACCTTTTTAAAAGAACTGATTGGCTGTAGTTAAAAAAAAATAGAATGTCTATGCAAAAAATGTTAACCAGCCTAATTTTTACCTAAAAATATCAATCATTAGAGAGTTTTGGTTATAATTTCTGGTTTTGCTCGGAGGCCTTTTGTTCTGTAATTTGACATCGTTTGGTCATTGTCAAACAAAAATTTATGGGGAACTTGTGAGTAGTTGAGCCTCCATGTTCAGCATGATGACACTTAATATCCCTGACAACAGTTATAGTTTCATATAGCCATTTGTTATTTAGTTTGTTTATTTTAACCACTACATTAGCAAGTGACATTCTTAAGACGCGTAAAAGCATAAAAAAAAAATACGAGTGGGGCCGTTACTGTTGTAGTTATGTTGTAGAACAAAACATGAAAATGTATTGGCCTTGTGTTAACCACAGACCTTATTTCAGGTGTCTAACCAAAAATCCTTTCAAAAATCACCTTGACTTCAGTGTGAGGGAACCAGAAGTGCCAAAATGCTAACTCAGTCCCAAGTTTTCGGACTCACTACTACAGCACTCTATAATCCACAACATAATGTATAATTTTTCCATGTTTTATGTTTTAATTGCTATTTAGCTTAAAATATGTGGCACATCAATGTTAAAATATTTTTGTATAATAGTAAATTTGTTGATTCATGTGTTTTCATATGTGTTTTTTTTTTTTTTTTTTTTTTTTCTGACAGTGCAACAGTGGCAGAAGATGATGGAGGAGAAGCTGAGTCCTTTGTTTAGTTTAAAGGAAATCCTGTCTGAAGAAGAGGCAGGGAAGATGGGGCGCAAGGACCCTGAGGAGGAAGTGGAGAAGTTTGTGTTGGCTAACACTCAGGAGCTGGGAAAGGACAAATGGCTCTGTCCACTAAGTGGCAAGAAATTTAAGGTGAGCACTTGCAGAGTGAAGAAATCAGAACTGTACAACTCACAGTGATGTTATAATGTGATTTTGACAGAATCTCTTCAAAGGTTTGAAGCATCTTGATGCTCTGTCTTGTGTTGCAAAAATTTTAGCGGACATATACATGACCTGTGTTACTGGGTTGGCATTTTCTGTGTGGTTTAAATCTAAATTTCTAGGGACCCGAGTTTGTACGGAAACACATCCTGAACAAGCATGGGGACAAAATTGAAGAAGTGAAAAGGGAAGTGGCGTTCTTCAACAATTTCCTGATGGATGCCAAGAGACCATCACTGCCAGAGATGAAACTTCCTCCTCTTCCATTACCAGGTCAGTTAACACATTTCTATCTCATCGACTCAGATACTCATCATAATGGTTTTAGTTAGTGACAGAATAAATGGAACTGTTTAATGGTTACTGGACCTTTTAATAATGAAACCATATTTTTCCATAGTCATATGAACTCTTTTTTTTTTCCCCTGGTTGTCTTTTGTCCTACAGTTTTGCTTTCTCCCAGCATGCCATTTCCTCCTCAGGGCCCAATGGGATTTGGACATCCTCGCCCACCACTGATGGGCTATGGCGGTATGTTCTCTGACTGTTCATGCTCATAGTGGGAGTGTGTTCATCAAACCAATTTTTGGTGCTGATTTAGAGTGCTTTGGTTCAG